TAGAGATAGTGCAAGGACGGATTGAAAGAGCCATCCTGCGGACAGCTTCGAGAGAAGTGAAGCCGTCGGCAACCCGGCCGCAATTGGCACCGGAGTCGGCAAGAACTTTGCACGCCGTTTGACACAAGCGAGCATCAAAAAGCATAGTGCGGCCATTGCTATCCAAGCTGTTAAGCTGCACCGATTTGGACGGTGGGTCATACCAAAGCTGTAATGGCCAAGGGATGCCCGGCAAGTCCGAACGCGTTCCAACGTCTACTGGTTGGGCGAACAACTGTGTTCCAACAGCATAAGTTTTGAGTAGCTGGTATCCAGCGGAACGCATAAGACACTCGACTTGAGTCCATTTAGGAACGGCGAACACCGCAGAAGTCGTTTTAGGATTTTTTAGCTTACAGCGGTGGTAATGTTGCTGCCATTCTTTAATATGAGTGTATGGGGGATTGATCCAAACAAACTCGCCAGAGACGTCGGTATCAAAGAACGAGTTGGATGGAGAGGCAAAGCGCGAACAGAGACTGTTGTCGCCCGAGTCGTTACAAGCGGCATCGAACGTAAATTGACGCCCAAGTTCGTTCTCAACTCTTCGAAATTCATCACGAAGGAACATCCGATCACATATCAACGGATCGCAGACGGGCGGAACAACAGAGTCCCTAATCTTCAAGTCAGGCTCGGCAGAAGAGACTTGGTCTACACGTGCTACAGCACTAACGGCCTGCTTGAAAGACACCCCCTCGCGCTTGCCAGCATCCTAATTAGCCGGTTCGCGTTTAGACTAGCCGTCTTCTCCTGCAGTCGGGCCATCTGCTCCTGCAGGTGGCGAAGGCAGTCCTTCTTGTGCTCTTCCCAAGTCTGGTTCGCCGGTTTGAGGCGAGAGCACATCCAACACTTGAGAAGAGTACCGGACGTTGACGTCCGCGGTTTCTTCGCACGAACCGTTTCCCAGGCCTGTTTGGAAGGGGACCGAGGGCGAGATTGCTTAGGGTGAGAGGAGGAAGTAATCTTAGACGGGCCAGCTTGCGTAGTAACTACAGCAAGCTGTGCTTTGTCCTTTCCGGCTTTCCACCGAACCTCCTGACCGCTAGCATACAGAATTAGCTTCTCTAAATCCTGCCAATCTTTGCCCTCATCGTCCGTAGCGCAGCGA